ATATTCAACAGTATTTATAAAATTTGCAGCGTTATGGCAATATACGGGGAGTATCCTTTAGGACCAAGCCTAGGAAAGGGCAGCACCTTCGGGGAAAAACGGAAATCGCTGGAGTCTCTAATCTCTTGCCTGAAACACAGTCCCGATTCTACAAAAAGAGTTGTTTTACGCGATTTCTCATGCACTGCCACCATAATGCCCCCGTTTTTTGGGTAGCGACAAAGTTGCTTAGAATAGTAAAACAATTTCAAATTATTGATAGAATAGGAAAAATTAGCTAAAAAGCCTTGCAATTTCATTTTCAATGTTAGGATTTAAGTTTGGTACTGTATCCCTTGGAGTCCCGCCTTCGCACTCATGTCACTTCATTCCCATCCTCTGAAATCCTCTCTCAGCGATTCTGGCCTCTCGCTAAGGCATTCAAGCGTCATTGAAAAGAATTCTTAGTCGGGATCGTATGATCTTGTCAATTAGCGGTGAGGCGAGTCGATTCGCCGTGAATAATGTCGTGTCCGTCGTCCCACTCCTTCTTCCAATTAAAAAGCTCCGTCACGGCTTGGGAACGCGCGAAATTCCATGGGAGAATGTGCGGGGCGTGTTTCACAATGTGAACGACCTAGAGGGCCGTCGGCCGTGGTGGGTGAGGTTCAAAAAAAGAATCCACATCATTCAACAGCAAGCAACTCTAACCAGGTCTCCACAACTGCACAGTTCTTCGAAAAAGTCTTTATTAGCCAACGAGTGGTCTGAGACCCAAGGATTTCCATAAGGCGACATAGGGATGTTAGCTGGTCTGAGCTGATCTGTACCGATAAAGGTGTTCACGATGTAGAAGGCATCGAATCGGCCTCGTCAGGAAGATGTCGATCAGAAGCGCGACGAGGTAGGCCAACGTACTTGCCGATACCGCCGCATAGATCTAGAAACGAAAAATTGAACAGAAAATGTAAGATACGGTAATGATGGTAATTGTAAAGAGAAGAACAGTTTCTCAGGTATTTTTCTAATTTCTCTATCTTTTCCATTTTACACCATGAAATGGCTACCACACACACATAGTCTATCCAACAGTTTGTGCGGAAAATCATTGCAGTGATAACACTTTGCTCATTTTCTGCTAATAAGCTGAGGCTGAGGAGAGGGCGTGTCAGGACGAGTTTTCTCAGTCTTTCCTTGAGGATTATGGTCGGAAAGACGAATAGAATTAGGAGGATTTGTCGACTCTCGCGCGGGATATGGCATGCAGTCTAAGGTCACTGTAGAACTGGAGGTTGGTACCACTAGAAAACGGCCGCTGACTTCAAAGAGCTCTATCTTGCTGACCATGAGCTCTGACGTCGGTCTCGTGGGCGATGTGCGGGTTCTGAATTAAAGGTCGGGCCCCGGTGACTGCCTTCCAATGGCGAAGGCAACTTTCAATGCTCTATGCTTCACAAAGCGATCTACTCGAACTCGTGGCCTTCATTATCGCTTTTTTGGTGATTCGTTTCAAGCGCCATTGATTTTCAAGTTATACGATTCAGTCTGTTCTGTGAGTGGAAAGTTGTGCTCAAATCAACATAAATGGATGAATCTGTTGATCAAGTTCTTCTTCGGAATGCGCCTTGCACTCGACTTCTCCTCACAGTCGTAGTATCTCCAGTAGCCCAGTAGCGTAGTATTTTGCCTATACAACAACTTGCAAGGACTAGCCGATGTGCAAATTTATAATAGTGATAATAATAACAATATAATTAATATATTATATATTATATATCTAATAGTAATAATGGAATAATAGTCAATCAGAATATTGAGTAATCAATTCGGCTTTCAAAATTCAAATTATTTCGAAAAAAAACCTCTCGCAAAATCATCGGTGCGATAACTTGCATGACATAATACTCTACCGGTGGAGGGTTACCGCATTTTTTTCAGATCTTAATTAGCTCTCTGAAAGATGCTTTTTTCAAATCCACTACAGCCACGACAGCGGAGCCTCAGCAACACAGCCGATCTGGCGATGTCCTTAAACCGGTTCGTCACCATCACCATCAGGCCCTCTTCAGCTACAGTAGCCACCAGTTGCTCTGCTCTCATCGTAGTCGGCTATTCCGGGCATTCGTGGATGTGTTGCGGGGGTGACTACTCCCCCCCCCGACTTGCGGACTCAAAATATGCTATGGATCAATTCCAAAACTGCTTTGTAGACTGAGTTCATCCGGAAGAAAATGTCATCTGCTAGATTCCCCTTGCACCAAAAATCGGTTCCAATGTTCGGGGAAACATTCGAAAGCCGGCAACTTTTGGTTGTTGACCTGGCGGTGCGTGTAGGTATGTGAAACCAGTTCCGTTCGCTTGCTACAACAACCAGTCAGCCAGCTGGGGGTCGTTTTTTTTTCGAAGAGGCTTTCGAGTCACTTTGATCCACTTCTCACTGAGGAGTGCAATGGGGCGCAGGTGAATAACGAGGTGGCCAACAGCGAGAGACAGAGGAAGTCACGCCGTTGCAAAAACTACACCAGGAAGCGCCCGAACGGCGTTCGATTCGTACGAACGGCAACGACGTGAAAGCATCACCTGCGAGGGGGGGGGGAGGGGGTGTTGACAAAGTAACTTTAGCCAATAACTATGAAAACTTGGAAAGGAAGAGTATTGGACCCACGGAGACATGATTCTTATGTGAATTCACTGAACGGAAAGCGAAAAAGACAAAACGATGAAAGGACCCGCAACGATCAACCCCGCTGGGATAAGCCGTGCATCCGACATCTAGCCAGAGTCGTTGAGCTCGGTGAATATGTATTTCTTGGGACACTAGTGCCTTAACCCTGACAGACAAGGGCAAGGGGCAAGAAAATCATCTGCCAGCAATTAATTAATTGAAGCAATTAATCAGAACCTGTAAGCATCGCAGCGCCGCAGAGATAGCAAGTAAACGCTGGTTGCTATGGCCGTCATATTTAATAAGAGCTAAAATCACGCATTATTTGTGGGGCAGATCAACTTTTTAGCGTGCCACGCATTCTACTCCACCTGGATCGCAAACGCTGGATTTGATATGCAATCTGACCTTACAAAGAATTATAGAATCCATTAGGTGCATACAAGTCAGAGTGGCGCTTTCGCAAGATAGAGGGGCTTTGAGAGGTGGCAATCAAACCGCGTAAAACATCTCCTTTCTAGTCAAAATGGGGTTCAGTCCTCAAGCAGGGCAGAAGTTGCTCCCAAGACTCCAAGGTGCGTGAGCCATTCCCATTTTCCCGTAGATCTTGCCCCCTTCTAGGCTTAGTCCTAATAGACGCCCCTGTATATTGCGATAGGCGTCAGTGTTTTTATAGTGTCGCGAACGCAGCATTTCCCAGAGTTAGTGGGCTTGGAAAACGGTAGTCTAGAATCCCAGGTTTGATCATTGGATCATGAGCGGGGTATGTGGCGCTACTTGGCAATAAACCACCTCCACTGTGTTTTCAGTATAACCAGGAAAAGAGACAAGCATTCCCACTGACTGTGCCGTGACTTTGACGCTGTTAGACTTTTACAACTATTTGGATGCCTATTTTATCTATGCAAAACCCCAGATGTAGCGCGTTGGTGTGCCATAGGAGCACCTCCTACAAGCATCCCACCAGCCGCGCAATTCCGTGAAGCTGTTGCTCTTATGTAGCTTGAAGCTCCCAGTTGCAGCTCGTTGGAGGATGTGGGGAGGAGCCAAAGTGACCGTAGTCGCGCGAAAAGCGGCACGTCGTCCCGATGAATAATGAATGAGCGGCGTTCTGAGGGAAACGCGATCGAGTAGCGCCGATCACGCCTTGTTGAATCAACACGATATATTATTCGCATAAAGCGGACGCGATGAGGCGAAGCGCCGCCGCTCGCGCTAGACGTCTTGCACCCTGGGGCGAGGGCTGCGATTTCCGGTCGGTTCATTGAGAAATAGCGCCATATTTGGAGCACAACCACAAAACCTTGAGCAATATCTAACGCAATGGGGTTGCTTATTGCAAATACCCATTGGAGTACTGTAAGTGTGGGTCAAATTCCAGGCTTATTCTTTGGTTCATATGATAGTAGACCTTTACCACGCTTTTCAAAACTTTCTGGCTTTCCTTACTGTGCGAAGATTGGTCCTTATTATAAATATAATATTAGTAGTGATCGACCGATATATCGATTGATATTGATTGATAGGAACCTCCATTTTTTGCAGAAGCGCTTTTTGGCACGAATGTGGCTTCTGGACCACAGTTCCCTACACAATCGCTTAGTTTTTTTTACGGATTTTCAGCCTCATCCGCATAATTGTAACTCACAAATAAGCTGCGCCTAGTTTAGCGGCGGGCTTCTCTACAATTATGAACAAATTGTTCGAATTCATGGAAACAAAAAACCTACCGTACTCCAGTTAGTAGCGTAAGATGGTCGATACAATGACGAGAAAAAGTAGAGTATAATCGGTTCGGTGAAAACGAGAGCGATCCATGTGAGCTTCGATAGTGGTGAAAAGATGCGCCAGGTTAAAATAGCATGCTCCGGCTGAAAGAGCTTTTCAGTGACAGCAGAGAGGTTGATTGAATGCTAAAAACTGATCCTCGATTCTATCAGCTACAGTAATACTATGCTTTTCCAGAATAGGTCACCGGAACATCCGCTAGTAACAAATAAATTTGTCATGTCAAAAAATCTAACATGAGAGAAGAAGCTACTAGTGACATCAATTCCTGCTTTGAAGCACAGCTTTCAATGTGAACCATTCAATCCGGATTACCCCACGTCAGAAGGTGGGAGGGTAGAGTGCGCCACCCTTTTGCTGTAATCAGCAAAACACCCAGGAACCTTGGTGAATTTCGCTTTCGTGTTGCATAGAGTTCTTACTTAAAGGCAGCGATTACGATAAATTCAAGAAGGGTTTAGTGTGACGTGGTGGTGCTCAATGGTACGCCAGTAGCGAAAAAAAGCAGAAAAATCCGTCAAGAAAACGCAAAACGGGACCCTTTTTTGGCCGTTGGTTTTCACTCATGAACAGGTAACAGCTCAGAAAGTGGACGTATGAACGAGTTCACCGCAACGCGTTTGATGGCACCATGCCAAACCACGCTTAATCGAGATGCTCCATTTGCGCCGCTGCTGGCACGCAGCTCGTCCAAATCACCAAGTAAACTAGTGGGCGGATCGCTTTTGGGGCGGAGCGCTTTCGAAGTCCTGCTCAGCAACCAGCGCACCTTTCGTCGTGAAAGCGCCACACTCGCTTCCCTGGCAGCCAAGTAACTGATTCGTGTGGTGCATATGCTTCCCCGATGCGCTCCCTCTTTATCGTAATCGCTGCCTTTAAGGTCACACTACATTTACATCGGAGCTGCTAGACTGAACTTGGGCTCAGGTCAACTTCAAGGACCTGGAAGCGTTTCCAAATTTGCTACTGAAGACTGAGCACTTCCAGCTCTCCATCAAAGGTCCCATCGTAGCTCTCCTACGATCAAACGCTGATTGTGCTCCACTTTCAAATCTTGACACAATCAACAGCATTGAAAAGAGTCCATAGGAACTCTGTTCATGCCGTCTACCTTTGCCCTCAATTGTGCCACTGAGACCCAAATTTTGAAAGAAAAGCGAGGTTGCAGATTTGTAAAAATGACTTACCGAAAGAACCATGATGTGAGAGGTAAAGGAAGGAAAGGAGCGAGATGGCCCAAAGGGGACGATGAAAAGCGGCGTAGAAGGCGAGGAACAGCGGGTGGCCAACGGACGATGTGGCAAAGGGCATCAACGAGAACACGACGAACAACCCGACACGGCTGCCCATATCGACAACATCACCGTGAACAACTGGAACAAATTTGAATAAAATCACCACCATTAATTCACATTTGAATTTTCTTATTTATTTAATTATTCTTTACTTGTTTACTTATTCATATTACCCATTTGTTTTCCCACAGTAAGGCCTATAAACAGAACTATTTGCAACGAGTAAAAAACAGCTGATCGAACAATAACAGCATGCATCATATTTGGACTGTGCGATAGTGTATGGGTGAAATGAATCAGGAAGTTTTTCTTACTGTAACCATCGAGGATCCTATCCCCCTATACAGGGAACAGTTAACAGCTAACCCACACCTTAGTAGGACTCCTAAAAGGGCTTTCTCTACTATCCGGTATGTTACTCAAAATGTCCCCAATTCACTCAATATTAATCCACCAAATGACCACCTACCTTCACTGATTTTCTCGGGCCCACTTCCAGAATCAAAAATCCGTGTGGAGCGGGGATGGAGAGGAGGAAAGGAGGGGAAATGAAAAGTTTTAAGCTCGGCAAGCTTATTACAAATTTCTCCAACATTTTGAAAATTCTTCTACCCTTCCGTTCCCGAATCCAGTGCCAACAATCTAGCCCCCCCCCCCCTTGATAATTACTACAGGGTAGACTCCAATGTACAATATCATGATAATAATTATGGAACTTCCCAGAAAATTTGAAAATTCTCTGGAGCTTTCCAATTTTTTGCACGGAAAATCATCAAATGCGAAGAAAAACTCATTACCCTACCTTCTTCCATAAATCCATGAGCGCTTCCGCTGAACGTAACCTCCTCATTCCACATTTTCAGCGTCGGGGAATTTCTGACATCATTTCACTAGGAGGTTAACTGTCGCGATCGCACTTTTCCAATTTTTGACAGCTTCCTTTAAAGGAATCTGAAGCGACCCTCGCTACCACCACCTGCCTCAGGAGACTCCCTACACACGACTCGGCTTCCCTTACCTCGACCATCACCCTCGCCACCTCGTCCTAATGGTTGTCAGGCTGTTTCTACAGAATTCGATTCTGACCATGAGATCAGTCGACACCACTCCACCCACTTCTTCCTCCTTCAGAACGGCCGTTGAGGGGGAGTGGGGAGCATTGTGTACTGAGGCGACAAATTTTCCGATTTAGCCTATTTTTCCTTCCTTATTCGCGACGTTTTCGCCAAAATCATCATAAACCCCAGCAAGCAGATACGACCCTCCATTTGCACTTCTCCCAAACATGGTCGTCAACCTTTCTCATCCCCAATGCGATGATCCCACAGCAGGGTGAATATTGCTTGAGGATTCCTCAACGGCACGTCGAGGATTTTCGCCTGATCCTTTACGTTCTCGCGCGCGGATATTCACTCTCGCCACCCGCGAGCCGTCTGTGCTCTCCGCGCGTACATTCACTATCGGCACTACTCTCGCACAGCAGAGAGCGATGGTCGAGGAATTCCTCGACCGTTATTCATCCTGTCCCACAGGCAGACAAAGTTCAATATGCATGGATTGGTTTGATTATTTTCCCGTTTCAACTCAAGTACATATTGCAACATCACTGTGTGCATTTGTTGGGTTCCAGTGAAGGTCTTTCAGGACATGGAGCGCTTTTTGAAACGGTTTTCTGCATGTTGTAGGGGCTCATGCGAGGAACACAGAACCATGATCCATTTTTCCTGAACGCCTCCAGGAATGTCAAAACAGTGGTGAAGAAATGGTCCAGAGTTCGATCCCCGGTGATGACTAATTTTTGCAATATAGTTTGGCGCCCCAGATTGCCGCCAAATGGCGCCATCGTCGAGAATAGATGTCATTGTCGTGTTTTGCGGCAATTTGGAGGCGCCAACATAAATTGCAAAAATTTGTCATCACGGAGGATCGAACTTTGGACCATTTCTTCCCCTGTTTTGACATTCCTGGGGCGTTCAGGAAAAATGGACCATGGTTCTGTGTTCCTCACATGAGCCTCTACAACAACCAGAAACCATTTTGAAAAAACGCTCCATGTCCTGAAAGACCTCCTTGTTAGGCCGATGTCAGACTTTGCGAATCGCGCGATTCGCTAGCGTCCGCGGTCGCGTTGCGGTACCAGCCAATTGAGTGATTCACTGGCCGCGACGCGACCGCAGACGCTAGCGAATCGCGCGATTCGCAAAGTCTGACATCGGCCTTAAGAGTTTGTTAAGCACTCCATTCAGTGAAAACGACTTGTTTCATTTGTAGGAAAGTAGTAACGAAAAGCCCAGCGCGACGCGCATGCGCACCGCATTTCGCATGAAATCAGTTTCGTTTTTGCACGATATTTTTTATTTTTTCATGTCCTGAAACTGTTCATACTCGGATAACCTGTCAAAATCAATGAAATCAGCGAAGGGGTAGTGACGAGCTTGAAAAAATAGGAAAAAACACAACAATAGAGAATATCATGAATCTCTAAAAACAACAAAAATCGACTCAAATGCACTTAACGAAT